TACGCCACTCCTGTCCTTGTACCGACGTCGTCGCAGAGGCGCGCGAACGCGTTGTGTGGGGTAGTATTGTCTGCGGGCGTTAAGGTCTTGAGCCAGAGACGCTCTCCATACACCACGCTCTTGTCCGAGTGTGAAGTGCAGCGTCAAAGCAAAGGAGATGGAGCGAGTTGGAGCCATAGACAGATCAGCTCGCATGCGCCAGTGCGCAAGCTACTCGATGCGGTCGACGAGTTCCGAGTGCTGCATGGTACCGGACGCTGTCGATCGTGCAAGGCAAGCTTTCGCGACCAGCTGCAAGGTGATCGCGATGGCAACGACTTGGGTGCCAAGAGCTCTCTCGGAAGGCTTTGATATCATCCCTGGCTTCTGCATTTGAGGTACTTGAATCATAACTTTGGTTTACGATCAACATGCCTAAACGTCTAGGTTTCTACAAGGTCCCAGTGGCGCGTCGACGGCTGCCACCGATAGCGCTGCGCCGCACAGAGAATGGCCGACCGCTCGTCGTTACCGAGGTCGAGGACGGCGTGTGCAGCCTCAAAGCGCGCCTTCAAGTCGGCAACAAACTTGGGGCCTTCGGCCGCGGGCGACGTCGAGAAGCGTTGCAGGAGCTCGGCGTCCGAGAAGCCTTGTACATGGGCGAGGTACCGGCGCATGTGTGCGGCAGGGAGGTCCGACTCCATCCAAAACCTGCTGTACGGGCCGACAACGCACTCGAGGGCCGGCTCGGCCTTGAGCACAAAGAGCGGCGTCGCATGCGTCGACGTCGTGCGCCGGAGAAAGTTGGGGCCGCGGTACGCGCCGGGCGCGTAGTCGATGGGCGCAAGCTGGACATCGCCGTCCAGAGTTGTTGGTAGCGCGAGGAGGCCGCGGACCTTGGGCTGCGACGGCGACGACCCCGGCACTGTGTTGGTCTTGCCGGTCGCCCAAAGGAGGATCGAAAAGGACACAGGTGCTGCGCGCATGGCGTCGACGATGCTCGCGATGATGCCGGCGCCGACGCCGTCTTCGTCCACATAGCCGCCGACGACCGCGATGCGCGTGTCGACGTCGCCGACAGTCCGCTGCCAGTGCGCAAAGAGGAAGGCCACTTGCGCCGGCGAGTCGACGTGCGCGAGGCAAACGCAGGTTGTCGACTGGAGCACGAGGATGCAGCACGTCGTCGCGTCGTCAGAGGCCAGTGCGAGCGGCGCCGACGCGAACGAGTAGGCGACTTCGCCCTGCGCCACGTAGAGCTCGGGATAGCCGCGCGCGTAGCTCGCATCGTCGGTCGTCGCCAGCAGCGGCATGCTGAAGAAGGCGTCGGCCGCAGCCCAGAGCGCCGGCGAGGCTGCGATCACGTCCGCGGTCGTTGTCGCCGTCACCAGCATCGCACAGGATTGTGACCATGCCAGCTGGCCACGCTCTCGGCGCCACAAATAGCCACCTATAAATCCGACGTGCCATATTTAGTGTAACGTTTGTTCAACCACAACATTGAACGAGGTGCATCGAGCTGTCTGGCAGAGCTGTTTGGCAGAGCTAGCGCGCAGGAGCAGCAAGCGTGGCTCCTTCAACAGCTCGAGCGTCTGCATGCCTTGGCTTTCGGCAGTACAGCGGTCCAAGTGGCTGGCGACAGTACGCACGCCAGCTGGAAACGAGTCAACCTGTCCATTTGCTCCATTCACTCTTCCACTCGCCACCTACTGAGCATCATGCTGCGTCCACTGACCTTCGCTGCGCTTCTCGCGCTGGTGACCGCGCAGCTCCAAGAGAAGAAGCTCTGCACGGCGACCGGGCTCATTGTCTCGGAGTACTACGGTCGCATCTTCACAGACTTGTTCCGACACAGCAACAATGAGCGCTTTCTGTACAACGCCACGGCCAAGTCCTTGATGACCAAGAGCAACGGCCAGTGCCTCGAGGCGCAGCCGTTGCCGCCGCACCCGTACTTTGCCTACGGCCTTCTCAAAACGGCGCCGTGCGATATCTCCAAGCAGATGCAGCAGTGGACGATCGAGAACGACCGCGTCTTCATCGCAGAGTCCACATCGCTGCCCGCCTACTGCCTCGAAGCGCACTCGATCTTCCAGCCTGGTTCGGACGCCGGCGTCGCGCCCTGCGACTTTGGCAAGGTCACCACCACCACCATGGTCGACTGCGCGACGGTCAAGACGACGTTTGTCGCCATCAAGACGCTCAAGAGTGGCAACCGCCTCAGCGAGTACTACTCGAACCTGTACGTCAACGCGCCGGCCAACAACTTTAACGAGCTCTTCACGTGGGACCAAGCCAACAAGATGCTCAAGGTCGCCAGCAACAACCAGTGCTTGGACGCGTACAAGGACAGCGCCGATGGCAAGTTCAAGCTCCACACGTACGCGTGTGACGTCAACAACGTCAACCAAAATGGAACTTCAACCCGAGCACCAAGACACTCGAGCACGCGACCCATGCTGGTCAGTGCCTGGACGCCGACCCGACGTACGCCGACCGCCACGCGCAAATGTGGGCGTGCACGCCCAACAACGTCAACCAGCAGTGGTCCATCGATACCTTCTTTGGGTAAGCGACGTTGATACACCTTCCAGTCCTCAACCTGAAATACCCGACACCGAACGGGATGTTACGAGGTGGCCTTGCCACTCGACCGGAGATGCGAAGAAGCTTGCTGGGCAACATACTGTGTATTGACCCATCGTAAATCTTATATTACGGATGGAAGCCAAGTTGATGGGAAGACCACGGATATTGGACTGCAACCCAGTAGCGACCGTGCGCTGCCAATGCGCTTGGCAATACCTGGTCGACGATTGAAGCCAGAGGATGCAAGGAATCGTCGCGTCGTCCGAGGCGGCTTCGCCCAGCGCTACATAGAGAAGCACACATAGCTCGCATCGCCTGCGGTCGCCCGCAGCGCAGAGCGCCGGTCAGGCCGTCATCTCGTCGGCGGTTCTCACCACTGGCATCGCACGCCAGAATTTGCAGCCGATGCCACAAATAGCCACCTCTAGATCTGATATGCCACATTTATCATGCTTGACCCAACGTATCGCATGAGGCCAGTCGGGCAGAGCTGCAGGAGCTGCTGGCTGGGCTTCTTCAAGTTGGCCGAGCATCTGTGCTCGACGCGCGCCATTCCAACGTGTAAGCTCGTCGTTGGCTTTATGGCGCCGAGCTGTTGAAGAGGCTGTGCTGTAGTAATCACGCCAGCTGCAGGATGATCGTCCACACCAAGCTCATACCATCTCATTCGTCAATTTGCCACACACCATGCTACGCCCACTTGCCGTCGCCGCTGTCCTCGCGACTGCCGCCGCGCAGCTCCAAGAGAAGAAGCTCTGCACGGCGACCGGGCTCATTTTCTCCGAGTTTTACGGCAAGGTGTACACTGACGTGGTCCGCAACAACAACAACGAGGTCTTTGTGTACAACCCCACGGACAAGACGCTCATGGCCAAGAGCAACGGCGAGTGCCTCGAGGCGCAGCCGTTCCCGCCGCACCCGTACTTGGGCTACGGCGCTCTGGCCACGGCGCCATGCATCCCGTCCAAGCCCATGCAGCAGTGGACGATCCAGAACGACCGCGTCTTCATTGCCGAGCCTCCGAGTCACTCGCTGCCCGCGTACTGCATCGACGCGCACTCGATCTTCCAGCCCGGTGGCAACGTCGGCGTCGGGCCATGTGACTTTGACAAGGTGACGACCGCCACCGTGCTCGACTGCAATGTGGCCAAGACCAAGTACGTCGCGCTCAAGACCCTCACGACCGGCAAGCGCCTCAGTGAGTTCTACTCGGGCCTCTATGCCAACGCGCCGGCCAACAACTACAACGAGATCTTTGTTTGGGACCAGCCCAACAAGATGTTCAAGGTCGCGACCAGCGGCCAGTGCTTGGACGCCTTCAGAGACCCGAAGAAGATGTACCACGTGCACATGTGGGACTGCGACGTCAACAACAGCAACCAAAAGTGGAACTACAACCCGAGCACCAAGACATTGGAGCACGCGACGCACGTTGGCCAGTGCCTGCACGCCGACCCAACCTACGGCGACTTTCGCGCGCAGATCATGGCCTGCACACCCAACAACCCCCTGCAGCAGTGGACCATCGGCCCGCTCGTTGCTTGATACCTTGATACATTTCTCGTCAACATTCATTTATGGTACATAACGACGGGCTATGGGCGCGCCAATTAGCATAGTACGAGGAGACCTCATACCGGAGGGGTTGGTCAACGCCAAGGACGAGGCGGGACGGGGTGCTTTTGATGGTCATGCCACAACTAGTAGCGACGGGTGCCACAATTAGCCACCTCTCGATCCGATCCACCACATTTACCAGCATGGACACAACGCGTTG